TCGCCCCAAACTCTGCTCCAGAGGCCTTCACGCCCCAACACGTGGCCCGTGCACCCCACTCGCCCTCATACTCTCCAGAAACCTGTCCCATACCGACCCCCCCCCATCTCTTAACTCGCCCCAAACCGTGCTCCCCGGACAATCTCACACTCCGCGCACCCAGTCGGTGCTATCCGCACCCTTACACTCTCCCACACCCCAAACCGGAGCAAACCCTGTGGATGGAAATGGGTTACAGTGACCAAAAAGCAAAAACCTGTAACCCCTCCTCTTCGTGGAATCGGGGTACAGACCTACCCTCCCCCCGAGCACCCAGCAGCTCAGTCTGGAATGAAGCTAGCACAGCGGGGAGGACTGGGTGCCACTCCACACCTTTAGTCTTGCCCAGGGTGCCCACGTCTGCCCCTTACCGAAAAGGAAGAACCTATTCGAGCGGAGAACCTTTTGCAACCACCAAGAATCGGCTTGGCGCAGCCGTTTAAAAGAGGTGTTTGCGGCTGCGCATTAGCTGGCCCCGCCCTCCTCCCCGAAATTTCTCCCCCCACCCAACATTTACAGTCCACGCCCCACTGAGGTGTCAGCCAATCTCGTTACAGCCTGCCCAGAGACTCTTCTGGTATCTGCCTATGTGTCTAAGCCTTATTAGTTGCGGGCAGTCACGGCTACTCACCTAATTTTCATATTCCAAACTTCCTGCATAGAGCCGTGTGCAAAGCGTGGGTGGTGGGGTTTTGGCGCCCTTTTTGTTTTACTTTTGATTGGGCATGTGCCCTTTGGTGGGAGGGGCACACAGACAGCCGAGCACAAGGGCGAGCGACACATATCACAAGGAGAGGAGACCTGCTAGGGCTCCCCACAGAGCTAGTTTCAAGCCCCCAGGTCACCTCTGGCTGGCTGACCCTAAACGCAGCCCCATTTCACCCGCCTGCTCCTGTTCCACGGTCTGCCTGCCCTTTCTCACCGCCAGACCAGGAGCCATAGCCCAGTGGCGACATTAAGGGCCCTGCCCACCACGGGTGACACAACACACACACACACATACGCATGCCTGCACACAATCCTGATAAAATGCGTCTTTAGAGTCAGATGGCACCGTGAGTTAAGAGTTGGGCTGATAACTGTGTGGTCCAAGCAACATACCAGCCACCCCACACGACAGATATACACTGACAGGCTCAGAAAGCCTCTGGAGCAGCTCTGCTAGTCCTGTCGGGTCACCATGAGTCGGAACGGTGGGTTGGAGTTTGGGGGTTTCAAAGTCAAGGATGCCAGGGCAAGGCAGGGTTGCAACTGGGTGTTTGGGGAAAGCTGGCTGGTCACCCTGCCCCAGGAACTGGGCCACACGGTCCCTGCTCCCAGCTGTGAGGCTCTTGGAGGCAGGCCCTGGCCACGTGCCTAAAGTAGCAGGTCTTTGGTGACAGCAGAGACGGCTGTCACTGTCTTTGGCAGACAAAAGGGCAGGCTTTTCTGTGACTTGTTTTAAAATAGGTCAAACAAATGCAATGTTAAAGTCAAAATCACTGGTCCCTTGTATTTTGGGGATGTTTCAGGAGGCCAAACCAGCTCCAGCGCCCCACAAAGGCAATGTCTGGCCCGCCGGCATCGCTGACTTCGCGGGTTCACTGAGGGTAAGGCTTCGCTCGTCCTTGGAAGCCCCGCCCAGTTCAGACATTGATACCAATTGATTTAAAACGCAATGTAATCTCTCCGGACAGAAAGCAGAATCCTTATTACAGGTAAAGGGAGGGGCAGTGGAAGGATTAGAAAGCGCCAGGGCTCCCAAGGAAGCAGAGGGATGAGAACGAAGGGGCAAAGGCTGAAGATACTCTGAATGAACTGGGCCAGAGACTTGTCCATTGCTGTGGGTCATGGGGGCCCTGTGCACAAGTCTACTGTCTGATCCCATAACGACTGACAGACTCAGAAAGTCTAGGGTCGCAGAGGGTCGCTTTCAGTGGGAATCAGATTTAGAAGGCAGATAGCTAGGGTGGTCATTTTAACCTGGAACAGTGTTTGACATTTTTAATTCATATTAAATAATTTCAACTTTATAGATCACATACAAAGAAAATTGTATTACTGCCATTTCAATAAAACACAAAGCTGCAAGTATTTTTGTTTTCTTACCAATCTACCATACATTTCTGTGTCTCCTAGACCTTAGTACTAAGAAAATAATATCAGGCTTGTGTTGGTACAACACTACTTGAAAGCTATAGTCAATATATTTGTCATCTTTTTCTGACAATATCAGCAAAAACAGGGAAGTGCAATCATAAAAACTATTCATCATTAACATTTATTAATATCTATCCAATCTTCTGTGTTAATAGGTAAATAACGTGTTCAGAATGACTATTTAAATAAAGGCAAACTAAATTGAAACTATTAGCTGATCTTAATTGTATGTTGTACTTTTAAAATTAATTATATCTTGATCAATTTAATTTGATATTTGACTATTATTATCAAATACATATATCTAATGCTGAGCAAAGAACAGAACCTAGTTTATTAGTTTCATTGGTATTTTTGTCGGCTTGTCTTTGAGAGGTTGGAGACGGAGGCACAGAAGGAGATGAGGCTTAGTCAAGAATGAGAAGTATACTGTAGTGAGGCTTTATTCAGGCGAGGGTAAACTCCCGGACGAGTTAGGTCAGGGAAGTCGCAGCTTGTCGGTGAGGTGGTGGGAGATATCTAGGGCTCGAGCTAAGGAAGTACACGCTGACAGAAGGAAGGGAGATTTCTTTTACTGCTTGTAGCTGCAGGGCCTTGAGTCGGGATGTGACCCGTGGGAGGTCATCTTGTTGTGTGCAAACCTGCTCTCTGGAGTGCTGGGAAAGGGCTGGGAAGATTGACTGATTCCTGGGGTGCTGGGGCAGGGGCTGCACAAGCCGGGCCTGGAGAGATAAGCTCTTTAGGGTGTTGGAGCAGGAGTTGCCAGTTCAATAGGTCATCCATCTTCCCGAGAGGCTAGGAATGGGGGCTGTGAGGTTTCATGCTCCTGAGGAGCCGGAGAGGAGGTGGGGGCTGCCCAGTCCGGACCCGGCCCAAACAATCTTTTGCTGACTTATGAGAAAACCACTGTATAAATATTTTGGTTTCATCAAGAGAAATGGCACTATTTCACTTAGATCAATTGTTATAGTTCTTGATAATGTCATACTCCAATTATGATAAATAAGCACAGTTTTTTTAACAAATAATATCATGACTGAACCTAAGGGGAAAAAAATCAGACAAGATGGTATTGAATATGTGAACTATGGCTTTACTCGGTTGCTACAAACAATACATTACCCATATACCCAATTTGCCACCCCCCAAAAATTTCGCAAATATAGCTATGAGGCCTGTAAATCTTTAAGAACATTTGGCCAATGTTCCTGTGGATAAGGTAAGCATTTCTGTTATTTTCGAGCATGGAGAGAACAATGCTTGAGGCAGAACACGATGACCTTGAGTTATGAGCTTGCAGCATTACTGAATGGGAGATCTATGAGGGAAGCTGCGTACAGTTGGTGAGGAACTCAAGCCAGCATCTGTTGTAACACAGAGAATGCCTCTGAGCAATAGCACGGTGCAAAGAATGGATGGAACGTTCACATTTTAGAGGCTCTCAGTCACATTTATCACATTTGTTATTCACATTATAATATTATTATTGTTATATTATCATATTATTCACATTATTGTCACATTTATTATTCACATCTTATCATCATTCACATTTTAGAGGCTATCAATGGATGGAGTGTTCCATCCATTCTAAAACATCAGTGGAAGATGAAAGAGAAGCCTTAGGGTTAACAGGCAACATTCATTGCACCAATGAAGAAAAACCGTTGCCAGGAATTACAATTTGCTAAAACTTCGCAAACTGAGAGTAAAGGAGAATCGATATTTCAT